TTTGCGCACCCTCTCAACTGACTCCCTGAGGCAGGGTGGCGCGTGTGCGGGGTGGCTCGGCAGCTCGGCAGAAGGCCTCCGACCCGGCTACCTTGTGCTGTTGAAGTAGCGCCAGGAGACGCCGAAGACGAGGGCGCTGTCCCCCCGGCCAGGACTTTCAGTGCTATCCCGGGCGGCGCGCCAGCGAGCCCGGACGCTGGTCAGCCGCGAGGACAGCGCCATCGTCATCGGCGTCTCCTGCAGCAACTTCAACAGCACAAGGTAGCCGGGTCGGAGGCCTCCTGCCGAGCTGCCGAGCCACCCCGCACCCGCGCCACCCTGCCTCAGGGAGTCAGTTGAGAGGGTGCGCAAAACCTTACCAAAACTGGCACGGGTCACGCGCCGCTCGGGAGCCGCGGCGCAGCCTCCAGAGACTGCAACGACAGCGAGCATACGCGCACGCGACTAAGCAGCTAACTCGAGGGGTTTCCTCAATCAACCGAATGCACTAGGCTGGCGAAAAAACCGGGGCGCGGGATTAGTGCGGGAGCCACTCTCCCGGCTCTCCCCCCATTAAGCATTTTGTCATCCATGCCCTCAAACCCCAACCCAGTGACGCGGACATATTCAATTTCGTATAGATAATCGACGAGAACGGCTCACGCCCCCGGGCCGGCCACCACTGCCACCCCGCGACCAACTTAGCTGCCCCGCCCTGCTCCTCCTCCGCCGCGCCGTGTCACATCGCGCGTATGAGCTCTGTTGCGCGCTTCTCCCTTGTTCGGCTGCAGTTGCCAAATGGCCACCACCACTCTTTGGTGAGGGACGGCGCTTTATCAGCGCTGCGCTGGGACGAACGCTCGAGATGGAGCCCCGCGCCGCGCATACTCACCCACTTGTCGGCCTCGACGCCAAAGAAGCCGTCCCCGGCGGCGGCAGGGAGGCGCAGGCCGCCCCGCTGCCAGCTGGCGAGGAGGTTGAGCAGCAGGTTCGACCACGCGTCGGTCGGGCCTGGCTGGCAGTAGTGCAGGCAGTCCGGCACCCGCTTGGCCGCTTCGGAGGTTGGCTCGGCCGCCGCCGCCGCCT